TAAAGATACGAGTATGACTCCTTCTACTGGAAAGTGAAGGAGGCCATTCAGAGTCTCAGAGTAGAATTTCTATTTTACTTACTCTCAGAATCACCTTGGCAGACTAATAATGCCTGCTTCCATTGTCCTCCACATTCCCTTCATCTCTCTCAAGCAAGTCAGGGTAAGAAGCTTTGTTCCTTGGGTAGGGCTCATGTCTTTCTTGACTTTGTGAAACTTCCTATCCAAAATACGGAGTGCATAGTAGAGTATAGAGCCTACAGCAGAATCAAAGTAATGCCACTGACTGATAGTCTACCCTCCAGCACATTCTGCTCTGCTATCTTTAAAGGCCACCACCCACTTTAAGTCAAATGCTGCGCTAGGTACTTTAATATATCTTTTATTATTTCATTGTAACAACACTGGGACAAGGTTTTTTAAATGGAAAAGATTTATGTTTTATTATTATAATTATTAAACTTTGTTCTTCAAAATACACAAGCAAGAGAGTAGAAGAACCACTGGGTAAAGTGTGAAAATTCTCATCTGGAGAAGATTTTTGGGGACAGGTATTATTATTATCCCCACTTTACAGAGAAGGAAGGTGAGACACAGACGTTAAGTGACTTTACCTCCATAACAAATACATAGGTGGCAGAGCCTGGATAGCAACTGAGATCTTTGACTCAAAAGCCTATAATCTTTCAATCTACCATCTGCCTCTCGAGGAAAAAGAAACAAAAGTCTGTATACTGGATACCAAGGGTACTTTTCTCCTACTTCATTCATCCATCCACACAATGTCTAACGTGTGCCGAGGGTGCTTCCACGCTACCAGAAGCTCCAGAGCATTAAAGAAAGGTCTAAAGAGAAAGGCTGTACTTCTAGCACTGGAATTTCCAAACCTTGCTATCCACAACATATCATAAAGTATATTTTTTAGTTCTACTACATGTTTTGCTGCTGCTCCTGGCACCTCTGTATTACAAGGGAACAGCTGCTAATACAGTTGGCACTGTCATGTATGTTTGGGCAGCTGACCAGAAGAGGATCAAGGATGGCACAGGCTGTCTCTTCTTTTCAGCATTAGCCAGAAAAGTGCTAATACAGAGGCCTGTAATTGAAGAATATGGCAGGAAATGTGGCTCATGGATGAGAGACACTTAGGCAGTTGGAAGAATTTGAAAGAGTGATTCAAAAAAGGAACTGGGAGGGCTTGACTCGAGCAGGATTCAGCAATCCCTTCATCCCTAATGACTCACAGAACAACAGTATTCAGTGCACTGAGGAGAGGGGAGCCAGAGCCCTTGGGAAGACATATGGTGCAGGAGAGAAAGGTAAATAAAGGAGGAGAATGCAATGGAGAAAGAAACAATACAAAATATTGAGTGAAAAGAAAGAGAAAAATAATGATCCTGTGGTAAACACAATTGATGGCCATCAACCTGAAACAAAAACAACCGCACACAAAATTGCCCATTTGTGAACTAGCCCCTTGGGTGTGGTGATTAGTGCAGAAAACTGCCAAATGACTATGTACAAATCATGTCTCCAATTTTTTACTTTGGCATTTTTTTTTTTATTAATGAAAGTAGCAACTCATTCTATGAGGCCAATGTTACCTTCATACCAACATCCAACAAACACATCACAAGAAAGAGATCTATAGATGAATATTCCTAGTGAATATAGATGCAAAAATCCTCAATAAAATGTTAACAAACCAAACGAAGCAACATATAAAATGGATTATACACCATGGCTAACTATGGTTTATCCCTGAAATGCAAGGCTGGTTTAACATATGAAGAGCAATCAATAAAATGCATGTGATCATCTCAGTAGTTGAAGAAAAAGTATTTGACAAAATCCATCACCCTTTTATGATGAATGCGCTTAACACACTAGAAATAGATAAAAGGGAACTTTCTCAACCTAATGAAAGCCACATATAAAAAAAAAAAAAACATGGTTAGCATCAATACTTAATGGTGAAAAACTGGATGCTTTACTCCTAAGGTCTGGGATAAGGTAAGGATGTTTGCTCTCACCAGTTCTATTCAACATTGTTGTGGAGGTTCTAGCCAGGGCAATGAGATAATGAAAAGAAATAAAAGATATCTAGATTGGAAATGAAGAACTAAAACTCTCTATTCTCAGATGACATGACCTTGTATATAGAAAATCTTAAGAAATCTACCCCAAAATATCATTAGAATTAATAAAGGAGTTCAGCAAGCTCGCAGGATACAAGGCCAATATAGAAAAACCATTTGTATTTCTATACGCTAACAATGAACAATCAAAATATAAAATTAAGAAAACAGTTCCATTTATAATATTGTCAAAAACAATACAGGGGCCTAGGTGGCTCAGTCGTTTAAGCATCTGACTCTTGATTTCGGCTCAGGTCATGATCTCATGGGTTGTGGGATCAAGGCCCACACTGGGCTCCATGCTCAGTGGGGAGTCGGCTTGAAGATTCTCTCCCTCTGCCCTTCCTCCACTCTCTCTCTCGTAAATATATAAATCTTAAAAAAACAATACTTAGGAATATATTTCACAAAAGAAGTGTGAGACTTGTATACTGAAAACTACAAAATATCATTGAAAGAAATTAAAGACAGTCTAACTCAGTGGAATGTCATCTTGTGTTCTTGGATTGGAAAACTTAATATTGTGAAAGTAGCAATACTTTCCAAACTTATGTACAGATTCAACACAATCCCTATCAAAATCCCAGCTGGCTTTCATGCAGAAATTGACAAGTTGAACCTAAAATATACATGGAAATGCAAGAGTTCCAGAATAGCTAAACAGTTTTCATGACCTTGGGTTTGGCAATATATTCTTAGATATGACACCAAAGGCACAAGAAACAAAAGCAAAATAGACAAAATTGGATTTCACCAAAATGAAATAAGTTCGTGCTTCAAAGGATATCATCAAGAAAGTAAAATATGACCCACAGAATGGGAAAAAACTACTTGCAAATCATATGTCTGAAAAGGGTCTAGTATCCAGAATACATAAAGAATTCTTACAACTCAACAACAATAAAAAAAATAAAGGCAAATAACCAGTTAAAAATAGATAAAGAATTTGAATAAACATTTCTCCAAGGAAGATATAGGAAGGGTATGTCCAATAAGTAGATGAAAAGAAGCTCAACATCATCAGTTATCAGAGAAATGCAAATTAAAATCACATTGAGATACCACTTCATACCGCAGGGATGGCTATAATTTTAAAAAATGAAAAATAACTATTGGTAAAGATGTTGGGAAATTGGAACCCTTGCACATTGCCGGTTGAAATGTAAAATGATGCAGTCACTTTGGAAGACAGCCTGGCAGTTCCTCAAAAGGCTTAAACATAGATTCACATTTGACCTAGCAATCCTGCTTCTAGAAATATACCCAAGAGAAATGAAAATATATGTCCATACAAGAATGTGTACACAAATATTCATAGCAGTATTATTCATAATAGCCTAAAAGTGGAAAAACCCAAGTATGCATCAACTGGTGAGTAGATAAAATATGTTATAGCCATAAAATGGAATATTATTTAGCCATGAAAAGCAGAAGTACTGATACATGCTACAAATGGATGAACTTTGAAAACAATATGCTAAGTAAAAGAAGCAGACATAAAAACCACATATTATTTGATTCCATTTATGTGAAATTTCTAGAATAGGCAAATCTATATTGACAGTGGTTGCTTGGTCCTGGATGCAGAGGGGAATAAGGAGTGACTGCTTAGGGGTAAGGGGTTTCTTTTGGAATATTTGGAGTTGCATAGTAGTGATGATTGCACAGCTTTGTGAATCTACTGAAAACCACTAATTGTACACTTTAAAAGGGCAACTTTTATGGTATGTAATTGTATATCAATAAAGCTGTTATTTTAAAAAGGAGAATTATATGTCTAACAACCAAGTAGGAGAGATGTGCTAAATCTTCAATTTTCTCTATCCTGACTAGCTGGACCAGTGGCCTGCTTCCTTTTTCTTCAGAACCTGCCCCCAAATATTTACTCATTCCTTCACCTATGGCAGAAGGTGCCAGTCAGCTATGCCCTGAGCCAGTAACACTGGGCATTCTAGGGTCCACATTTGTCACATCTTCTATATAGCCCTTCCCTCATGTTATATTTCTATAGTGAACAACTCCTTTCTCTAAAAATGAGTCAAGTGAGACTCAACAAAACAGTCTGAGGCAACAGAGAGAAAGGGAAGTATTGGGGCATAAGCTATAGGGAACAGGGGGCTTCATTGTTTCAAAATCCTCTCCTACAATTGAGAACACTCAAGGAAACCTAGACATTTCCCCTTCTACTCCCTCCCATCATAGTAAGTTGGGAAAATATTTTGAAGTCTTTCAGTTGGAGACTAATCTATTCCCAGTTTACACTAGTGAACTTAAGCCATTCTCAGTGAGGATTGGCAACCATAGAAGAGTCCAGAGCTACTTCTGTCACCCATTCTAATATTTGACAGCTCTTGCCATTAACATACCAGTAACCATGTAACAATGCCAGTAACAATTCCCCATATTTAATCTAGGTTCCTAATGTGTGGTGTAAACCAAATGACCCCTTGCTACATCCTTGGTAGAGCGTGAGAAGAGATACTGTCGATTTATAGTGGGAAAACAGTGCCTCGGAAAGAAATAGTAATAGGAACTAGGAATTTTCCAGAGAATGACCGATCATCAGTCTCTAAGCATTTGAAATCCCCCTGTAGATAGGGTTTCCCCAAACTTGTCATAGGACTCTGGGTAAAAGTGTGTAAAGGATGTGGAGAGATATAATTTAAAAAGAGGAGTTTAAGTCCTTTGTGAGTTAGCAAGGCCAAATGAATCTGGACAAGTGACCACTTCCCACAAGCCAACATAATGACAGAGACTCAGACAAGCACCACTAGCAAGCAGAGTCCCCTGTAAGAGGTAAAGCACTTTGAAAACTAGATTCCCAAAAAAACCATCACTGCCATCCTGCCCAGGCCACCTTACCTAACCGAAATTGATTGGAGACATTCCCGCATGTTTGCATTATCTCCGGGCTATTCCATCCTAAGGGGTATAATGCACAGCCGGAGCTTATCAGCAGCCCTGGAAAGAAAAGCATACACATAGGTAGAAAAAAATATAACAGGTCTTCTGTCACCCAAAATTTCTCTCTGTATTAGCTTGGCTCAACTTCTGCCTCTTCTGTTCAGAGTTTACCTCTCCCCTTTAACCCTAAATGTCTATGACACTACCAACTCAACAGGATTTCTTTGCCATGCCATAGGCAGTGAGTTGAGGTAGATAGTAGAGGGAACAACTTACAAAGAAAGGGCAGTGTTAGAAATTGAGACAGGCCAGTGTACTTTTTACAGCCCAAATGTTTATGACAATGGCTTACAACACTAAGTTGGACTCCCCAGTCAGACTCCTTTTCTACCTTGGTCTGATTTTCAAAGAATAATAATGTAGAGACTGCTACTCTTTCCTAAAATTCAGCCTTTTCTAAGAGTCAAATAGGTCCCTGTTAGTTGAAGGTAGGTCATGATTTCTATCACGTGGATTCAGCTGCCAGACTGAGATCTAGAGAAAGCATACACGTTGGATAGGCTTCTCCTGTTGAGGAGGGCACCACAATCCCTCTTCCAGAAATACTTTCTTATTCTGAGATATCATTCCAATTTTATGATAAGAATTTCTCCTTTATTTGGCTTCCAATACCTTCCACTAAACCTTTGTCTTCATGTCCATTTTATTTAGGTTATTTGGTCACTACAAAGTAACTGTGGGATCTTAGTGATAACCTTACTCTTCCAATGAGAGGTACAAATCTGGGTCTGCTTGCTGACACTGCACATAACACAGAACCTCCACAGAGCAGGTGTTTGATCAGTGATGAATGAATGGCACAGTTAGAGGTTCCAGAGCTCCAGGGCTCAGCTGGACAGTGAAAGGCAGACTACTCCAGGGACTACTGGCCTCACCTACACCTCTCTTTCCCCACTGAGGAAGATTCCAGATACACTCTGAGAAGCTAATAAGCCCACTTTGTCTTAAGATGAATCCTTTTGGAAGAGACCACAAAGAACTCTAAGCTTGTCTACAACATGGCAACCAGCTTTTCTCAATATTCAGTGAGTCCAGAGAAAAAGATGAGGGCCTTAAGAAATAGCAAGAAAGGTTTAAATAGGGGTGCCTGGGTGGCTCAGTTGGTTAAGTGTCTGCCTTCAGCTCAGGTCATGATCCTGGGATCCTGGGATCAAGCCCCGCATCTGAGCAGGGAGCCTGCTTCTCTCTCTCCCTCTGCCCCCTCCCCCGCTTGTGCTCACTTCCTCTCTCTCTCAAATAAATGAATAAAAATCTTTTTTTAAAAAGAAAGGTTTAAATAGGAAAACAGTGATAACTTTCTGACAGTGAGAGAGGGTTTAGAAACTAAAAGAATGACCAATTAAGGCTAGAAATTCCCTTCAGTGGAATGCTTAAAATTAGAAGGCATTCTTATCTGTCTCATAGTCTTAAAGGAAATGAAACTGGTCACTCAAAGACTTTTCTAGGCTCTGGAATTTATCCAGTGGCAATGGAACAACACTCCTATTTGTTTAGGGGTTCCTCTGTTTTCTTTGTTTGTACCACAGATAAACTGAAATCCTACGAGATGAGGAAGTATGAGCCAGAATATGGAACCCAGAGTATGCACAATGGGTTAAGGACAAAATTGGAAATGAAATCCTAGCCTTTTCCTGCTTCTAGTATATATATCCTTTGAGGGAAGAGTTACTAAAAAGTGAGCTTTTCCACACAAACTAGGAAGAAAAGAACATAAGTTCATAAAAGAACAGCAGTTCTGCTTTCAAACCTCCACATTCAGAACCCTGGGACTGGCATGAACTCTGATTTCTCAAGCAGGTATCAGTGCTGGCCAAGTGTGTGTCTCAACATGGCAGGTGGAACCTTCTACTCTCCTCAGCCCCCTCTTGTTCCTCAGACCTTACCATGTTGAGGAGCTCAGGTCAGGAATCACCTCCTCCAGGAAGCCTTTCTCACTATCCCCAAGGTCCCATCCCCAGGCTAAGTTACATATTCCTTCTCTGTGTTCCCACAGCACCCTGTGCTTATTCCTGTGATTAAAATATCCTGTGATAATATATGCTTCACAACTGATTGAGGTCTGCTTCCCTCACTAAAGTGTGTGTTCCTGGAAGGGAGGAACCCTTGGTAACTGGTACATAATAAGTGCCCAGTAAATGCATCTGTTTCAGAGTATACTCTGGGTACTTGACAGACAGCTTCCTTTGCCCATGCTACCCAATGGGGAAGCCTTCCGAAGGGATCTTCATAGCGGGGATGGGAGATCATCCTAGACGAATGATACAGCCATAGAATCTTAGAGAGGGAAAGGCCTTTAGAGATTACCTACTCCAATCCATCCCCATTACAGATGTGGATATTGAGACTCAAAGAGGGAAAGCTATTTACCTATGGTCACATAGCCAGTTACTGGCAACACTTTTCCCACTAATCAGAGCAATCATCAACCCCTTAGAAGCTCTGCTGTTCTAAAGACAGGTATCCAGAAATGACCACCTTTTGACAACAATATCTATAGCAAGTACTAGGAATCTTATAGGCATTAGATCCAGAGAGACAGCACAACACAATGGCTTCAGAGAACAATACTGTATTATACACTTGAAAGTTGATCTTAAATGTTCTCACCACACACACACACACACACACACACACACACACACAAAACCAGAATGATGTGAGGTGATGGATGTGTTATCTAACCTTATTATGGTTAACATTTCACAATATACATGTATATCCAATCGTCACGTTGTACACCTTAAACTTACACAGTGTTATATGTCAATTATATTTTAATAATATGGGAAAAAAGAGAGAAAGGGTTCTGTAGTCAGTCTAGATCTAAGTTCAAATTCCAGCTCTGCCACCTGGAATCTGTGTGACTTTAGGCAAGACACTTAATCTCTCTGTGCTTCAGTTATCTTGCCTTTAAAATGAGAATAATAGTACTCCATCCTATAGGACTGTTTCAAGAAATAATGCTTATAGAGTACCTAGCATATAGAAAGTGTTCAACAAAAAATTATTTTTATTGAACAACAGCCTCTCCCTATGACTCCTCTCTCATTTTCCACCTATATTCTCCATGCTAATTTCTTCCTCACCTCTTTGTCCTCATAAAAAATACAGCTGAAAAGTCAAATTGCTCAACAGGGCTCAATTCAAATCTTCCTGGTTGGAGTTGTTATCTTGCAATTTTGTGCAGGCACCAAGCCAGAGACTAGAAATCTCGGCCAGGCATGTGTTCTGCCCCAGTGCATGTGGCCCCACGCTCTACCGAACCAGCCCTCCTACTCCTCTTATCCCCTATCCTCCCTCCTGCCTTTTAGACAGATGAGCGCAGTAGGTTGTACACATGCTTCATGGAGATGTTTGACTTGTAACTGACAGCTGATTCCATCACATTTGCTCATAGCTGTAGAAAGATGTGTCCTGGGAGACTTATTTTAAAAATGAAGTCACAGGGTAATTTATCCTCAATTATATTTGTTTCCAACAGTTCTCATAAATTTAGGATTTTGAAGATGAGCTTCAAACAGAAATGCAGAAGTCATTTGCCAGTGTCAGGTCTTGCCACCTTCTGGAAGAGTGGGCTTATTAAAACATGTAGATTCTTAGGCCTTAGTCAGAGATATTTGATTCGGTAACTGTAGCCTAGGAATACGCATTCTGCCTTCTCTAAGTGCTATAGCTAACTCCTGGTTTTATTACCCCTCCAACCACATATGTCCCTTGGTTCAGCTGGGTACTTTCTTATTCTCATCTGCCTCTAGAAAGGGGAAAAAAAAGCTCTTTAGAATATGTTACTATCCTTACTTCCCTACTATACAGTGACCAGTAGGGCTGCCATCTTGTTTCCCTTCCTCAGCTTTTCTTTCCACAAGAATCCCCTAATGCAAAATGTACCAAATATCCTCCCCAAACATGGTTGCTATGGTTTGAATTCACTTCTCTGACCAAGCAGAAGCCTGGCGTTAAACACTTTACTCTGTTTCAGCCCTTGTGGCAGGCAACCTCAACTCCCATACAAAACCTCAGACACACCTTTTTGGACAGAACTTGGAACCCTCCTTGCAGCTACTTCCCAGCTACAGTCAACCTTCCCCTGATGCCAGAATTACTACTTCTCCATATCCCAACAGTTGTATAGCCTCCTCCTAACCGCACATTCTCCGTTAGGCAGATGCCAAATCTTTGTCTCTGCGCAGAGAAAGCCCCCTCCCTGGGTGTTAACCAACCCCCTTTGCTTCCTCCACAGCCATTCACAAAGTACAAATATTGAGTGTGCAATCATTTTATTACACACCCAACCCGATCCCCAAATATGGTTATTAGGTAGTTTGAATTTACTACCTTAGCAGAAGTCTAGTATGGGTTAATTTGTTATTTGCTCATTTATTGCTCTTAGAACAACTTCAACTCAAACACAGTAGAAAATTTATAAGTCTGTCCTCCAGCTATAATCTCAGCTTTCCCTTCCCAGGGAGCTCCCCACTCAACTGTCCCATTCATTTGACCCCATATTCTCTCTCGGAGTTATAAGACAATTTACTTCTGTGAGAGACATTTAAAATAGATCAGGGGAGACTTCACACAGAGGCTGCATTTGACATGAACTTTGAGAAATAGGCAGATGTTTACAGACAGAGATGGAAAAAAAGGGAATTCTAGAAAAAAGCAACACTATGAATGAAACTGAGCAGAGGTTCTCAAATTTTAGCGTGTACTGGAATCATGCTGGAGAATGATAAAAACAAATCAAAGACAGTAGTTACCTTTCCTATAGGAACAAGGGAATATGATCACGATATGAAGGACACTATAACTGTATTGGTAATATTCTATTTCTTAAGCTGAGTGGTGCATACATCTGAACTATTTTATACTATATTTAAAAAAATAAATCAGTCTGAGAGGCTGTGTAAAATATAGAGTGGAGGGCATCAGTTCTGATTCAATATGCTTAGAATGTCCCTAACAAGCACCCCAGGTAATTCTTATGCAAGTGGTTCATGGGCCACTCTGAAAAGCATTGTGATAGCATTTCGTCTTCAAGAGGAAAAGGAAAAATCAATAGCACCAGTGCATAAAGCCCAGGGGTGAGAGTCAGGAGCTCTGACCCATATTCTCTGCTCTGCTCCAATTTGCTACATAAGTATTAACTTCTTTAAATACTATTTTCTCAAACAGAAAGCCACTTTTATCCTTGTTCAGCATGGTAAGTATAAATTAAATGATGCCAGTGAAACTCTGAAGGATTTTCCAGGAAATGCATGGTTTCCAGAGAACATAATGGTTTTTAGAAAAGTAGCTCTCAAAAAAAAGAAGAAGAAGAAGAAGAAGAAGAAGAAGAAGAAGAAGAAGAAGAAGAAGAAGAAGAAGAAGAAGAAGAAGAAGGGGAAAGAAAGAAAAGTAGCTCTCTTTCCTTGATTCAGGTTCTCAGGGATCTGCCTCCAGTGGCAATTTTCATTGAGCTTGAAGCATGTAGCATTAAGACTTTACATGGAAAAAAACACTGGTGCCTGTCTGGGTATGTTGAATTATATCTCCTTAAAGAAAAAAAAAATGTCCATGGTGATGGTTCTCACTTGAGTTGGGGAAAGGGAACACAGCATACACATCAGAGTCACTGGGGAGATTTTTCAAAACACCAGACTTCCACCTGTTGCTATGTATATCAGAATGGGAAAGAGGATAGGAGAGATGGGGAGTCCACATTTTTTAAGCGCTCCAGGTGATCCTGATACATTCCCTGCTCTAGAAAGATTCTTGGCCTCCCTCAAGTAACCCGATCCAAGATCTTACACTTTTTCCTGCCAAGAAGTTCCTTATATTTACTTCTCAACTATTTCTTCTTTGTTTAGCTCTCACTGAAGATAGAGAACAATTCACAAGCATCTTGCATATGTATATACAGGGGAATGTGAATAATGACCTTGTTCTCAGGGACTGGGGGCCAGCTGGTTGGAAACCTCAGGATCCCCAGGGTTGAAATAATCTCCTGGCCAGATGTTTCCTTCACCGGTTGGAGCAGGGCATGAAGGTCCCAGTGGAAGGCTCTCTGGACCCTAGGCTTGTCCAGCTGGATCAGTTGCAGGTGGAGCAAATGGGACCCAAGGGCCCCATCAGGTCACCTTGCTAAGTCTGACTCAGGCCAGCAGCTCTTTATTCCTTCCTGTCTCTCCCACTTCCCACCGTTCATCTCTGTGGGCAGCTGCCAAACTGGGGAACAAGAGTCAAGAGGGGGAGGGGGTTGTTCTTAATGGATACTCCATCTCTTCAGTGGTTTGGGGTCTGGCAGAGATAAACCAGACCTAAAACAAATTGGCTCCACCCCCTGATGTATTTCAGTTAATGCACTAGCTGCCGAGAAGCCAGGCCTGGAGCAACAAAATCAATTCCCTTCAGCTGAACAACAAGCTTAAACTTAACCCCCACAGCTCTTTCTCTTGTGTCTTTTATCCATGCTGCTGAACATGCTGTTCAGGTTTGGCTTCCTGACAACTGGCAGAGCGTATCTCTAAGAGGTCAGATCCAAGGTCTCTGAAGACCCTTGGGTAATGGTCATGTGCCAAGGGGCTCCTAGAAAATATAATACATCCAAGCAGTCTTCACCATTCTCTCACATCTGATGTAACCTTGACAGGCACCAGTTCCTAAAAAGGTGGTAGGAATGACCCTTATTTGGCTGGTGTTACAGATGGGGAAGGTGTTGAAATTTAGCAACATATCCAATATCTTTCACATATCCAGGGATAAACCTTGTACTACCATGCCTTGGGTCTTGACTCCTTCCATGCCTACTGTCAAATGGTGTTTTATTCTTGAACTTTAAAATCCCTCCTCTAAGTATAAATACTTTGACCATGTTCCTACGAGCATGGGTCAATGGGGAATCATTCTATATGGGGAATCATATGAGATGAAAAGGGTACTGATGTTTTGATTTCCTCTGTATGACACCTGCCACTCAGCCAAAGTTCTTCCCCACTCAGTCTGAGTGTCTAAAGCTCCATGATCTATCCACATAGCTCAAGAATTTCCTTTGAGTTTCTCGACCTAGGAAGTAGGATCAATTAAATGTATCATATGGAGAATCACAAGGGTTTCTTAAAGTCTCAGTCAAGCCCAAGCAAGCTGGGAACAGGAGCCACTGTTAATGGTTGGAGTCTGACGGAAGCTGTTGCTACTGGCCTTCTAATTCCTACCCATTGGCCCCTCCTCACTCTCTGCTGGCAACTATTAGAAATTCAAGTGAAGCTAAGTTGCCACTCTCAAATCAGAAGAGAAAAGGACTCAGGGTGCTAACCCCCCTGAATGGAAGCCTGGTAAAAAAGGATAGGATGTGAATGAACCCAGCTCTCACATGTCCAACTTATCCCAATATACACTAAACATTGTCTTAGCTGTACATTCATTCCTTTACAGTTACTGGACACCTGCTCTGTGCCAGGCAATGAACTGGGACCTGAGACTATAAATATGGGTTGAAAAGACCATCTCTTTCTTCTGCCAGCTAAGTGTCATTTCCTGAAATAATGTGTCCATAAAAGTGCTAAGCTATCTATAGCATGCCTAAGAACTCAGGTGAAAAGTGAGCCCGTTTAAGGTTCATTTGTGATATCCATAGAGCCCCCAAAGGGAGACAAAGTCATTGGCTTAGACCAGCCTTAGTAATTGGTTCTGTACCATGGTTCTCAAGGGGGAAGAAAGAAGCTAATCTAATGACTTTCCAATGTGGTCAGGAAATCATTAGTAGCTAAAGAGTGGAAAAATTCAGAGATAAGGGAGGCTAGAATGTTCATTCATATTTAAAACTTTTACACTGAGTCTGAGGAAAGAGGGGACCAGAAAATATCACCTTAACTGGCACAACCAAAAGAATCAGTGTTTTTTAATAAGCAGGTCAGGAAACCATGATATCTTAGCTCAGGGTTTCTCGACCTTGGCCCTATTGACATTTTGTGCTGGGTACTTCTTTGTCATTGGAAGTGGGAAGCTGTCTTGTTCTTATTCCCTCACCTTTACCCACTGGATGTCAATAGCATACTTCTCAAGTTGTGATAATCAAAAGTGTCTCAAAGAGATTACCAAATGTCCAGGGTGGGGTGGGAATCAGCCCCTGTTGAGAACCCCTGTCTTTGTTCACCACTACCACCTCACTCTATGGCCACCTGAATACAGTCATTAGAGAGAAGAAAGAAAATCAGGATCTGCACTATCTTGCCAGTGAACAAATTCAAGGAAGGAAGGCAGATGAGCACCAGGAAAGGACACTGTCATTTGCCCATGACCGCAGGGCAACTCAGGGCAAGAGCCAGAAGTGGGATCCAAGTTTCCTGGCTCCAGTCACCCACACTGTACTGCTAATGGAGATGATAATGATAATGAATTGAGTAATGATTCTAAAACTTCACGAGCAAAAACCACCACTTCAGCAATAGGTTCTACCAGCACTTTTTCCCAGTGTGCCATCCAGGTATAAAATATAATTCACATATTCACCCACAGATTTGCCTGTCTGTCTAAACTTGCTTTTTCTTCTCATAAAGTTCCAATTAAACTGCCCCCGTTGACTTCCTGCAGTCTGCCATTTTTGCATTTGGCCCTTTCCTGGCCCATCTATGCATCACCAGCCTCCCAGGTGTTCTGCACTAAATTTAGAGGGAGGCTGAATGAGGGAAAAATAAGTAGGGTGGGTCAGGGCCCTAAGAAATCGGGATAGACTGCTAATGGCTACCAGACAGGGCTAGCCTTAGATAGAGGCCAAATAAGCAGTTACCTATAGTCTGTCTGGTACCTAGCATTTCACTTTTAGACGTGTATTTCTTTGGTGAGGATTGTACATCAAACTTGTTAGTGATGAGGACTTGTGCCTATATGTTTATCAGATCACTGTCCTCTGAGATAACTACCAGAGATCAAGGCTCTTAGAGATCAAGTGTATTTAGAGTATACATTGCTGTCCCTAGAAAGTGGACCTGGATAATATCATTAAATGAGCACTGTTCAGACAGAAGAAGGTGATGAAAATGGAGGACTAACAAACCAGATATCAACTTTGCTGCTAGCCAATTTTGCTGCGAATAAAGCCCTGGTATAGATGGCACTTTGGGGAGTCCTAGGCTGGGTGTTTCAAAGGAGTCTCCATTCGTAGCCTTTGAGTTGGATAAAGGGAAGGGGCTGAGAGTGGATTTCTCCATGAAGAAACACTGCCCACCCCCACTGCCAAGCTCCAAGACCTACCCAACCCCAGCAACAGTCTTACCTCCCACGAACTGTGCTGCTCCCATGCAACGTCCCGTCATTCTGGAGATGAGCTCCTCCATGCAGCAGCCCAGGACAGCAGCTAGTGCCACGAGGAGCAGCAGAGCACAGCCGGCACCTGTCACCACCGTGCACATCTGCCAGGCCAGGCTTGGAATGGCACTGAAGCTGGCATAGCGCCCACACTCTTCCACCATGATCAGACTGTGCCCCTCTCCCCGCACAGGGTAGTTGCACCTCCGGAATGTGCTGAATGACACTGGCTTCCCCAGCTGGGATCCAAAGAGCCAGTAAGGCAGGAAGTAACTGGTAGAACTGGCCACAGCAGTAACAAGAGACAGGAAGGCCCAGAGGGTCCCCACCAGTGTCAGGCTGCTCCTCATGGTCCCAGGTTTCTCTGCAGGAATGGGGAGATGAGTTGGGTCATAGCACCAAATGCAGAAAGTTAGCACATAGGCTCCATTGGCCTATTTTTCATCTGGCTGGCCAGTCCTAGGGCTCATTTATGGACAACTTGGCCCTTGCCTTTAGATAAGATTATTCTATTGAGGCCCATTTGGGTCCTTCTGGGATTCTGCTTTCCAGCACTTTCCCATCTTCCCTTCCTCCCACCTGATTCAGAGTTCTAGGGTCTCTAGGCTGCAATGGAAGAACCATAGAACTGAATTAGTGACTGTTCTACCAACTCAAATGCAGCCTAATCAGACAGCTTTCAACTCTTGACATCTAGCATGAAACAAGTGGCTGGAGCTGAAGCTGGAATGAAACCAAGGTGGCCCAGAGAATCCTCAGCTTCCAGTGGAATGGCCTTGCTGGCCTGGGGGACTGGGAGGAGATGATATCTCAAGAGGGTCAGAAACCAAGTCGTTTTCAGAGAATGAAGAAAGAAGGAAGGAAGAAGGAAGACAACTCACGGGGCTGCCCCTTCTACAAGGGAGAAGAGGGAAGGAGAGCTCACTATGGAGTTACAGGATGTGCTCATGTGACCTATGTAGGATGTCCAATAGTGCCTCAGTATGAGCTGTTCACGGGGTTGAAATGTGTAGAATAAAACAAGGGGTGCCTGTCTTATACCCCTTGCTTGTCACTGAGTGAGCACTATTTAGTCACTTTTTCCCAAAAACAATATGGGAGGCAACTTTCCAACCAGTGAAGGTTGTTTAACTCTAGACAGGCTACTAAGAAAACCTACCTCATCCTTTGCCCCATATAGTCAGGAAAGCTTCTCCTCTCTCTGAAATGGATCAGGTAGCCCCTGCCTGGCAGTAGGAACATGCATATATAGCTGTAAGGACCTTTCAAGGTGCCCTCTGTAACAAGTAATCTCAGATTCAAGACACTGAGAGTTTTTTTTTCAGATCTAATCTCCTCAGCTCAGCTCACAAATGGCTTTCACAGACCCTTCTATCAAAAATCAACCACTTCCCTCCCAACTCCATTACTCTGCCTTTGCTTTCTGGCCTCAATTAGGGCAGAGACCACACTGCAGCTTGATGACCGCACTGTGAATGTCTCCAGCAGGAAGATGGTGGAGTATATTTCAGAAACTTCTCCATGATTCATCACCATTGCATAAAACTACAGGTGGTGGGAGAGGAGAGGGGTCCAGCAATGGGGGACCGAAGATAAGGGGAGTACAGGCACTGGCTATATGGGGCTAGCATACCGCCAATTTGGGACATTGTCAGGAAAAAGCAGCAGTTGTACTCAGGGTCTCAGGGACTAGGCCCAGCTGTGGGTCTTTTCACAAGCACCATTAACTCATGTTTGTCTAATGAAACCCATTGTATAGAAGCAGCCAATTTCCAGGCTGGCAGCGACCTTAATGAATCACCTAATTCAACCTTCTTGTTTTACATATGGGGGAGCATGGCCCAGTAATTGGGGGGGGAATCCTTTCCCCCAAGTCACAGAGTAAGTTAGCAAGCAGCAACACCAGAATAAGAAAGCAGATCTGCAGATTCCTGGGCCAGTACTTTTCTACCACATAGTACTAACACCCCTCCCCCATCACTTTGCACACTGGAATCGGAAGAGGAAGTAATTTTACCCAAGGGTAAAGGACTAGTGAGGTACACTGGCCAGACCAGAGCCCAGTTATTTGATTCTTAGCATAACGCTCTGTTTTCAGTCCACCACAATTCCCCTCCTGAAACATATGTATTGTGTGCTATGTGTTTTGTGCAGGAAGGGAGAAGAGATCATAAATTGCAGGTGCTTACTTTGGAATGCTAGGGCTTGGAAAGAAAGTGCCCTGAGCTGGGCCCCTGGGAATGAGGATTTATGCCTGAGGGGGGCGGGGTGAGAAGAAGATGTGATGAGGAATGGAAAGCCAACGGGAGGAGAAGTGGAACTAGTTTTAAGTAATTGCTCTTAGGAAACAGGTATGCTTGGCTGCAATGAGGTAATGCCTCTGCTTGTGATATTAGAGTTTGTAAGATTATGAAAAGTGCAAGCAGCCCTCTGTGATGGTCTCACTTCCTGGTGAAGAAGCTCAGGTGGGAGGATGAGAGGAAACCAGCTGACAAACACTTAGGGCTGCATCATCATATTCCTTTCTAAAGCCATTATGTCATGACCTCTGCCCAACAACCTTCTCTGTTTGGTAAGAAAGGTGTCACCTCCAATTTACAAATGAGCACAGCGAGGGTTAGAAAGCTAAGTGACTCGTCCAAGGTTGCACAGTAATTTATTGGCACAGCCATGACTTCTCACTTCTCATTCACCCACCACCTTCCCCGCCGCCATTTTCTCCGTTATCACCCCAGTAGTATTACAATTAAAAGCCTCCATGGTTTCCCAGCTAGGATTTCAAAAAATGTTTAAGAGTGGGGAAAGACTTAGAGAGACAGACTGGGGAGGTAGGAGGAAGGCCACTTTCTCTAAGCAGTGTGTAAACCAGCGGAACAAGAGCATTAGCTGTTTCAAGCTCAGCAGCTCTAGTCAGAACCAACCCCATACAGGGCGCCTGGGTGGCTCAGTTGTTGGGCATCTGCCTTCGGCTCAGGTCATGATCCCGGGGTCCTGGGATCGAGTCCCACATCGGGCTCACTGTTCGGCAGGAAGCCTTCTTCTCCCTCTCCCACTCCCCCTGCTGTGTCCCCTCTCTCGCTGTGTCTCTCTCTGTCAAATAAATAAATAAAATCTTAAAAAAAAAAAGAACCAACCCCATATGTTGCCCATAAATATCATCACATTGAGATCAAAATTCCCAGTATGACAACCAGTAGAAGGGCAGAGAATTTAAGGCAGAGAAAGAAACTGTATCAGTGAGTGGTACCTAGATTATACTAGAAATAAGAGGTGGGGTTCTGACATAAGATTATCATCATCTGGGGGTGCTGGGTGGCTCAGTTAGTTGTGTATCAGACTCTTGATTTTGGCTCAGGTCATGATCTCAGGGTGGTGAGATCAAGCCCCACACCCAGCTCCATGCTCAGTGCACAGTCTGCTGGAGATTCTCTCTCCCCCCACCCCTCCCCTACTCGCGTGTGTACATGTGTGCGTGCGTACTCTCTCTCTCTCTCTCTCTCTTGAGTGTGCAAGCATGGCAGGGGGCATGTGAGTGGCAGAGGAAGAGGGAGAGAGAATCTCAAGCAGACTCTATGCTGAGCGTGGAGCTGGATGCAGGGCTCAATCTCTCGACCCCAAGATCATGACCTGAGCTGAAACCAAGAGTCAGATACTTAACTGACTGAGCCACTGAGGCGCCCCAATAAATAAAATCTTTTATTTATTTTTTTAAATTGTTAAAAAAAAGATTATCATCATCTTTGACAAATCAGGCTGTTTAAAAAACTACAATACTACCAACCACTGTCACTATAATTTTATTTTTAAATGGAATTTTGAAGCCAAGATGTAAGAAGGCAGAATCACAAAATCCAGTTTAAATTACATATGCTTAGCTTTAGAGAAACTCATCGGCTTTCAGAATTTAAATACTTTTAACTTCAGGAAAAACTCATTGTCCTTATTTCACTGAGGACTAGGATGACCAGTCAGGCCAGTTCTCCGGGACTGAGGGATTTCCTGGGATGTGGGACTTACAGCGACAAAACTAGGAAAGTTAGTCACCCTTTTTAGGACTAGAGGTGTGGTGAGCCAGCACTGTCTGTGGACAGCAAGCTGAGAATCACTGCCACAGATAATTCTCTAATGTTCTCTCTCCAGGACTCAAACAATGTGAAGTTAAAGGTGACCATGGCATTAAACAGTGGCGAGATGAAGCCTATGTATTTTGAATGTAAACCTTTCTGAATCATAGATGTGACCTCATGCAGTCAAGGAAGAGAGCCCAGAGATCCAATTGCTCAGTGTTTTCTGAGCATAGAATAAACCCCAACCCAGCTTCACCTGTGGCTGGACAGGGAGGCATTGGCTTTGGTGTCTACGTAGGCACTTTGCTATGTGTTCACATATGCCAGATGGGGAAGTACATTCAGGCAAATGCTTTTAGTTCCTGTATGGCCTGCAGTGGATGTTCCTCCATGATAGTCCTCCAAAGCAATCCAAGTTCATTCCCAGGAACTAGCCAAGTCTCTTTGCACTCACATAAATAAAAATCATGTACAGTGCTATACTTCCTTCTATCTTTGTTCTTCCTGTATACGTCATGTATGCAATGGCTTTGTTTCCCTGACCTGGAATTCTAGCCACACAGCTACACTGGATTTCAGAAAACAAGAACTCAACCCCAGCATACCTGCTAATTTGTCCAGTAACAAGACATTGATAGGATTCTTACCGACACTCTCTCTTTAGTTGTCACATGGTCCCTCATCCCTTAGTTTCTCCATCTCCTAAATGGGTCACGTGCCTGTTTCTGAGAGTGGTTGTGTAGGATGCAGTGAGTGTGGCCAGAAAGTTGTGACAACCAGGGTGGAAGCACAAAATGTGTTCTGCATTTACTGTCCTTACTGAAGGCTAATGCTCACTAATCTTTAAGAGATATGGACATGATTCTAATGCAGACTCATGGGTAGGAATCACTTCAACCTTTTGAGGCAGGAAACCCACCTAAGCCGTACACATCAAATGGTTATCTAGATTACTTTTAAAGAACTCTAGAGAAGGGGACTCTCTGATTTTTCTCAGTAGCTTAACAACTCTCACTGTCAATAAATCATTCATTATGTCTCATTTGAAACTTTTTCTCCTGTAACATAAGGCCGAATTCTTTGGTCGCATCATCAGAGGGAAAAGAGAAGAGCTTGGTTGGTCTTCCAGAGGAGAGCCCTTAATCAACTCAGATTGCTGGGAGCTTACCTTTAGCCCCCTTCCCCCCAAAATGAGCACTCTACCTCTCTCTGTGGTGTCTCATTGCCAAGTCTTTAATTATTTGTTCTCACCTTTTCATTCTTCTGTGTACATACTCATACAT